GACACACACTCTCACAATCAAACAATAGGTGATTATACTATCAATAGACTAGACACACACTCTCACGATCAAACTTTATGATTTTACAATGATGTAACAAAATACACAGTCTATTTTTCACTTTTATCGTAAAATAATAGGAGGAGATAAAGCATTAATTCAGTATATATACAAAGTCATACCAACATTAATTCAGTATATACAAAGTCATACCAAATTAATTCAGTATATATATACAAAGTCATACCAACATTAATTTATTATATATACAAAGTCATACCAAATTAATTCAGTATATATACAAAGTCAAACCAACATTATTTCAGTTTATATACAAAGTCATACCAAATTATTCAGTATATATACAAAGTCATACCAAACTAATTCAGTACATATGCAAAGTCATACCAGCATTATTCAATATATATACAAAGTCATATCAAATTAATCAAAAAACGAAGTAAGGAAGTACATTTTGTAAACGTAAGTAAGTCCATTCATAAAGCTAAAAAACAAAAACGTAATTATGACAAAAATTAAAAAGTTCCTATAAAACACTTTTAATATTGCACAACGTTGGCTTTAACAGACAATAGACTTGTAAACAAGGAAATGGTGCAATAATAAATACCTTCTACAGGGTTACGGTAAACCCGGATAGTCCACCAGTAGTGATTTAAGATAATCACTTAAAAAACGAAGCAAGGAAAAACATATTAAAAACATGTTACTGGATGCAGAAATCCAAACAAAGCCAACTATTAATTGCACAAAATTGTCTTTTCTTATCGGTTTAATCCCTGTAGAGATCATTGAGGTTCTGACTGAAGTCTTGTATTATATGTAAATGGAAACCTACTGACCTAGTTTATAGTGTATGTGTGCTAATGTAACAATTTATGTGGTGTACTATGTAATGAGTCGGTTGTGTCTGGTTTAGATTTTGTCTGAAAACTTACTATGTCCCGTACAAACGAGAAACATCCGATTATAAGACATTTAAGCTTTTATCTATTTTCCTTTTTAAAATATTTACTTCGTTATTATTAGTTTTTCAAATACATGTATCTATAAATATAATATTATAAGACAATTGATGACAATACATTCTGGCTTTATCATTACATGAACAAGGCATTCTGAATAACAGTGAGGTAGCCATATTGTTTTGGGGTTGATCTCAGTGCATCAAACCCCTAGCAGCCATCATTATTACATTATCCTAGTAATATTGAACAATGTATTCTATGTCTATATCTATAACTAATAATCTGTACAACATTGTGTTCATAACATTGAAGTTATTTTTATATCATTTGCCAAATTTGGCATCATCCAAACAAGAGTTTACCTGTCATAAGGATTTAAACTCAAACTTTTCTATAGCTGTCGCTACTTTCTGATCAGTGTATCTTATTATTTTACTTCATGTGATTAAATGTCGGTAAATCTGTTAATGTGTAGGTAATTGATGAAAGTCTGGAACTGTTAAACGCCCCCGGTGCTTGGTCATGTTACCTTACATACGGCACGTGGTAGGGACCAGAGGAACAGGAAGTCACAGTACAGGAGAACGGGAGCTATTTAAGGGCCAAAACCAAAGGTGATCATCACACAAGCTGGTAAGTTCTCATATTGATACTTTGCTTAGCAATAACAATTAGGAAATTAATACATGCTTTGAATTCTTTTTAACGTAAACCAACAATTTAAACAGAATAACTTGATGTATATATCTTTCATTTTAAGTATTTTGTTTAGTATTTTTAAACGATTTTGATACCTTTATTAATATTATTCTCGTTTTCACTTAACTGTTGTGTATATCTAACCATAGATTTTTTTTTTACTTATTCAGTAAAAGGTTGATCAAGTCTTTTTAACTTTAATTAGTCTTCATGGCGCTATGAAATGTGTTCTTATTATATACAAGCATTTATATACTTGGCGTCTCAATATCACTGTTGTGTATATCTAACTGGTATTTGCTTGTCTTATAGTCACCATGAAGTCGTCATCTACCGCTCTTATTGCGATATGTCTCTGTCTCGGCGTGTCATGCGCACTGGGAGCCGGATATGGTTCCGGTTACAACAGCTATGATACCTATGGAAGCGTAGGAGGCGGATACACCATGGGTTATGGAGGCGACTATGGAAGTGGGTACGGAAGCGGATACGGTAGTGGATACGGAAGCGGTTACGGTAGTGGATACGGAAGCGGATACGGACACTCAAAGGGACACGGAAAGGGCTACGTCTCCACCGAGACCGTTATTAGACAACCGTATATCCAGCCTATGGCCCTCCCACCACCACCACCCCAGGCCGGCAATGACGGACTTTTAGGACTCGGAGGAGGATCTGGACTTCTTTGTAAGTTTTTTATTTGCTCTAACTTTTATATGTGAAATTAACGTTATCATTTCGTTGAAGTATATTCTTTATGCTGTTTTAATGAAGTAATACCCCTTTCTGACATTTCTTTGCAAAATTGTTCCTCATCTTATGTTTTTACAACTTATCCACCGGGTTTAGGCAATATCGTCCAATTCTGTATTCCATGTCAGCCATGTATTTCAGATCTGTTGACACTGTGACGTCATTTACTCCTTATACTGCCTTATTTTTGCAGCTTTTCTTTCGTCGATAAGAGTTA